TAGAACAATCTTTCGACACTGAACACAAAATATTTTACAATCACTTAATGATATTACTAATGATATATATTACTCTAATAAAAAATTATTTCTAATTGAATAGAGTGCAATAAGGAACCAAGTGCCATTAGAAGCGCTTCTATTTTGTCCTAATACATTACGTGGACAGATTTTTCTAAAAGTGTGTATAACACATGAAATTATATTTGAGAAGGATTGTAGCTCGTATATTTGAGATAACGTTTGTACAGAATTTTATTTCTAATGTTTCGCGAAATTTGCTCTAGCGGGAAAGTAAGGTTTTGGAGTTGGTTTCTCATTGTTTTTCAACTGCATCCAATTAGTCTAATAAAAGAGATAATCACCTTCTTCGGCAACCGACGCATGGTTCTGCCTCGTTCAAAATGTCAATTATATGCTTGCAAGTAACTTCAAAGGACGCTTTGATCTCCTCCGTAGTGAGCAAAGCAAATTTCTTGGTGAACTCTTCTAGTTGTTTACCGTTGACCAAGGGATTATCACAGATAGCTCCCAAATCACTTATGTCCATAATCATCTAAAAGAACACAATGACAGATATATCTCACGGTATAAATCGTGGTATCGAGTAATAATAAATCACATTCGCGGTTCGAAGACAATTCGAACTGAGAAGGTAACGTTCTCGCTCGACGCTCCGGGGCTAAGAATATTCCAAGGATAACAAAAATAATCTGCAATAATGCTACTTCTCTTGTCTCCCTTGTGTAAAAAGGTTGACAATCGAGTTAGAGACAATCGAATTACAGAAATAAGAAAAATGGGTCTGTTTTCTATTGCTGAACCTGGCTGCACTAGTTCAGAGTTCATCTTTTCTATTTCTACTCCACAAAGGAAAAAAGATAAACTCTTTAACTAGCAGTTCAGCACTAGAAAACAGACCCAATATGTTTGTGTGCGTGTATGACGCAAGTATGCGACAAGAATAATCATTGGGTTAACGGCGCGTCCGCTCCACGTTGGACAATCGACTGTCACTATCGCCGATTGCTCGCGACAGTTGTGACAGACGACTCGGCGAGCTCCAGAATCGCGATTCAACGTTTTCGCTTCATTTTTTTTTTATCTCCCCCGCCTCCGACTCCCGAGTTGTATGTGTTTTTAGATTAAAGGTATCCAGCGCGGAGCACGGACGCTCCGTTACGCGAAGCGACGACGTCGCCGTCGTGCCTCGTCATCTGGGAATTCCAGGACTCGCGCCGGTCGACGACGGTGTCGGGGCAAATCGGCGTCGCGTGTGCGCGGGCGCTCGGGCGCGGGTGCGCGCGCGCGCGCGCTCACCGTCAGGTTCTCGTCGACGATCAGCGGCATTTGCTTGCTCGCCAGCTCCACCGGATCGTCGTCCCGCCAAACGTTCACCAGCCTCGCCATCGTCCGCCTTCCCCCGTCCAGGGTCGTCCCGTTCCCGGTGCCGTGAAATTCCGTCGTCCCCCGAAAAGGCCGAAGGCGTTTTCGCCCGCTTAGCTCGCCGGCCGCTTCCTCGCCCCTTGCTAAGATCGGCGGAACCCGATCTGACGTGAACCTACGTGGACGGCGCGACGCGTCGGGGCGGCTACGGGATGGGCTCCTGTCCGCGACTTACACGCCGATAAAGAGACACAGTCACGACGAGACGCGACGCCAAGCGAAATGACGGCTCTGTACCCAGGTATATCACGCACCATCTGCCATTTGCAACGTACGGAGTCGCCGTCTATCGCTCCTCTACTTCCGCCCCTCGTGCACCGCCTCCCCTTCTCGCCCCGCGGTGACGACGTCGAGACGCGTCATCGTCTCTCGCTCTCGCGTACGTTCGCATCTCTCGCGCGGCACCACGAGTCACGAGTCCCCGTTCTCTCCTTTCTTTCTCTCGTCGCTTCTTTCGTTTTTCCCTAATCACGGCTCGTCTCCACCCATCTTTGATCTTACTCCTCGATCGTGAACGCGGCGGACGGCGATTTCTCGAAATCTCAGCCGAGACTTGACGCGGAAAAACCCTCGAGAGGAGATCAACGAACGCCCCGTTTTTTTGAATGAACGCCGCGTGAATGAAAGGGAAGATCCTTCTGGATATATTTCGCATCGATCCAAAAGATTCCCCGCGAGCTTCAGTAAAATGCGGATTTCCTTCGGTGCAGCATGCGGGTAAAATCGAAAAGATATATCGAACTCGAAGCTTCTCAGAACTTCCGTTTCAGGCGGCAAGTATGAATCTAGGTATTACGCATGCGAGCATTTTCATCGGACATTAAATTTCTACACGTATTTTATATAATGGACAATGTGTCAATTATTAACTACATATTGCAACATTTATTGCGTTTATTAAATATTAAATAGTGCATATGTTAAATAAGTTTTATTGAAATAATATATGTACCTAATTTAAGGGTTCATAAATAATTGAAAATAGAACAAAAATGAAGCTCCCATCGGCGAAGATTTAACAGTTTTATAACTTGTAGCTGTTTTAAATTTTGCTTTCTTTAATATGTATTTGATTATTTAAAAAATGCATTTTTCTTTATCGTTATTAAGAATAACAAGAGGTAATAATAATAATTATATCGTCTTACAATAATAATTATTTTGTCTTTTTCATTGCAATCTCTATAACTTTAAAATGCTTTTAAAAGACGGTTCAATGTTAAACCGACGCCATCGTAAAGTCACTGATGAAAGGTTCATCTATATATTAAATTCATCTACATTTTACGAAGACTAGATAAACGCAGAAAACTTTAAGCGCTAGCTGGAGCGCAGTCTCTCTCCTTGCTCCAAAAGCGTTCGAGCCTCGCGTAGACCTTCGGCTTCGTGGGATTGTAATGCAATGCCTCGCATATGCGACAGTAGTGCTTGGAGACGCTGCCGAAGTAGCCGTGCTCGTTTATCACCTGGTAGCGATCGCGCCACTCGTGATACCCGAGGTAACGCACGTCGTCGCGGTCCAGATATCCGAGGTAGCCGGCGAGCGCCTTCGCGTCCGCGAAATCGTCCGTGTGAAGGTAGGAGCGCGGCGGCAACAGTCGCCGGCAGTCCTGCCGCGACGCTCCCATTATTATCGGGACCGCAAACTTGCGATACGCGTTCCAGAATACCTTCTCCGTCAGGTACTCCCGGCAATTGGAGTTCTCGAGCGACAGATAGAACTTGTACGCGCCCAGGGCGGCGCAGTCCCGGTCGAAATGACCCGGGCAGACGGTTCTGTTGCCGTCCAGGCATCTGCCGAGGACGTCCAGGTTGCCGCGGAGCGACGACTTGAGCGCTCTCACGTAAGACCACCGTCCGTTACGGCCGCCGCAGTTGCTGCCCATTATGGCGACCAGTTTGGTCTTGGAGGCTCTCACGACAGCGTTCCAATAATGTTCGGTCGAAAAGTTGCCTCGTATCGTTCTTCCGTAGGGAACCGGCACATCGCTGTCCATTCGGTAGGACATGGACCAGTTGAACAGACCGTCGTAGCTGGACAGTCTCTGATGGTCGTGCAAAAACGTGTGGAAGGGTGACTCGTCCGTGAGAAAGATCCACCGTTGATCCGTCCGGCTTCTCGCTGGCAACTCGGACGGACTCCTCGTGAAATGCAAATGGAACACCACGGCGTCCGCTTGATGCAGATCCTTTTCGTCGTAACTCAGCATACAATTCCGTACTGAACATTGATCCCACGGTGAAAACCTAAAACGCGGCGATTCTATGTAATTCTCTGTCGATGTGTAAATCGTCTTTTTATCGATACTATTTTCTTCGGCTGAAGGCCGATACGGTTTCCTACCGATAGAACGAATTTATCTTTATAAAATAGATTAATAAGATAAGAATAGATAAAGAGAGAGAAAAGATAAAATAGTTGATATCACGTTGAAGAGGATTTAAGTAACGGTCGAAATTAGCACTACGAATATACGTATAAATTAAATTAGCACGTGAATATACGTATATAAATATTACATCGCATGAATATTCATGCCCTCATATCGGCTCTCGTATTACTTTGAGTATCCTTATTTAGAGTTATACTTGTTAAAAAAAAAGCGTTAGAGAATTTAGAATTTGCTGACTTGGTGGAAGTGAAACGTCTGAGGTGTCTGCGTTCCAGGAACTGCCCGTGCTTCCAAATCAGGATCAAATAGGTTTTATTGGCGGCGTTTAACCGCGGAGGTGGACTCCCTTTCGGCGCCAATAACCATTTCCCAAGGGGAGACATACTCCCTACCTGAAGAAAACGCGTCGCAGCTTATCCAAGGGGAAAACTTATCCAGGTTTTTCCCTTATACAGTGCATAAAGAATAAATAATAGGGTCGGCAGAATGTGAAAAAATGGTCAAAAAAATAAAATTGATGACTTTTATTTAACTTAGATGTTTAATTAATGAAAGGAACGATTTATTGCAAGAGAAGTATTTCGAAAAAAAATTTTGCGAACGTGCGCCACGTCTATTTAACCTACTCGGATTGTCTTTCTCACTATATAGCGTGTCTCAATTAACGACTTTGCTCGATCGCGTCCACTCGAACCTTGAGTTCGATCGAATGTCCACCAAAACAATTAATACGGACACTTCTAGAAAGTATAATAACGGTTAAACGCGTTCCTACAATAATCGCACGTTTTATTTAAATTTCCTGTAGCGAATAAAATTTATATCATTGTCGACCCTTTGTGCGCAATTCTATTCTATATCGATGTAGATTCCACATA